TCATCTCGATCAGAACGGAAGAGCTACAAATTCCCACCACCGAAACCCTTCGGCACCGCTATTCACCCCAATTCACCACCGATACCGTATTCTCGCGCCACGTGAACCGGAAGCAATCAGAGCTCTCTCTGTACACACTCTCTGTCTTTCTCCTTTCTCTCTCGAAAGGAAGCATCGATCTTGAAAATCGACCCGAGGAGAGAGAGAGAGAGACTTGGCGCAAAGCAGCTCGGTGACAAATAACGCGACAACGATTTCTATGGTGGAGAACGGTCTACTATACGAAGGAGAGATTTCGACCAACGTGGTGTCGAAACCTCCACCTCCTCCTCCTCTTTCTTCCTTACAACCCTGAAAGCCGCCATCCACGGAACGTCGTCCCACTTAAACGCGATTAATAGCGGATTCGTGATTAATGATGGAGCCGTGCTCGCGCAACGAGTGGTGTAAGATCGATCAACCCACGGCCGCGATCGATCCCCAATTTCCATACAACGAGGTTGGCGGAAACCGTTGGAGGAAATTCGAGGGGAGAGGAGAGGGACACGCAGGGAGGCTTGAACGAGTCTCTGAGACGCGTTGCCGTAACGAACACGTTGAGGTGTTCGAACGAAATACATTCTCTCTTCTTGTTAAGGTTCATTCATTGGTAATGATGAGCCAGGTGTAAATATGAGATGTTTTTCGACGAAATTGGATGTTTGGAGATCTTAAAAGAGATGATCATCGTATTTAATAATATCAATTTGTATATAATTAAAATGATTCTAATTTGAATAATGATTCGCGTAAAAGTTACAAGTCATTTCAAATTTTATTTTCATGGTTTTATTATTGAACGTAGTCAGCAATTATTCATACTTATTTGTTATTCTTCCATACACATAAAATTACTTTCTTTCAAATATTTTGTAAACAGATACACGTAATTACGTAGCTAATTAAATATATTCATCCAGCTAAATCCAACAACTATTTACTCTGTAACCTCTTCTCCACAGAAATATTCTTCCCAACGACACGAAGAGAAACACTTCGATCCCCAATAATAATCAATCAATTTTCCAAAAAACAAGGAAGGGGGAAAAAAACCCCCGTTTCTCAATCCGTTCGAACACGTTTCGAAAAACACACAAATGATAACTTTGAATCTCTCGATCCCCGATATATAGAAAACAAATTTGCCAAGAAGCGATTTTCAAAAGCGATATAATACATACGCACACGAGAGGAGGAAAACATCGAACTTGATTGCTGGGTATACAACAGAATATATAACCGAATGGAATGGAAGAGAGAGAGAGAGAGAGAGAGAGAGAGTGACACGTCGCGGTTTAATACGATTTAGAACGGCATCGCGGGCCGCCCATTTAAAACTGTCAAGCGTGAAATTCAGAAAACGAGGGTTCGGGGAGGGGGGAGGGTCACGTCACAATTTTCGAGTAGGTGAAACGCGAAATGCGATTTAACCCTCCCCTACCCCTTCCCTCGCCGAGAGATCGAAACTTTTTGAAGCTATCCGCCGTGTCCACCGCACGTTTGCATAAATAACGGGACGTGAAACACCCCTCCCCCCTCCCCGTTTATTTTGGCGGGTAACAGGGGCACGGACACCAGTGGGTAAACTTCCGGTCTCTCGGGTCTCTCGAGCGATCCTGCCAAACCAATAAAACCAGCCCTCGCCAATTCTCCTTCTTCCAACCGATGTCTCTCCCTCTCCCTCCCTCTCTCTCTCTCTATCTCGTTTCTTCTCGTTCTTTTTCTCGTTTCTCAAAGCGAAAACTTTCGTTTTCGATCGAGAGATCAGCTTAGATATGTGATTTTCGATAATTTAGATTGTCGTTGTGTCCAACGAATTTTCGTATTCGATCGAGACATCAACTTGGATATGTTACGTGATTTTCGATAATTTAGATTGTCGTTGTGAGAAACGTTGAAAAACGTTTAAGCCTCCTTCTTAATGCGTTGAATTTGTTATATATGTTATGTGATTTTCGATAATTTAGATTGTCGTTATGAGAAACGTTAAGAAACGTTTAAGCCTCGTCCCTCCTTCTCAATGCGTTGAATTTTCGTATTCGATCGAGAGATCAGCTTTGATATGTTGGACGTGATAATTTAGATTGTCGTTGTGTTTTTAATGTTTAAGTCTCGTCCCTCCTTCGATAATTTAATTTAGATTGTAGTTGTGTTTCTAACGTTTAAGCCTCCTTCTCGAAGCGTTGAATTTTCGTTTTCGATCGAGAGATCAACTTGGATATGTTATGGTTTTCGATAATTTAAAATTGTCGTTGTGTTTTTAACGTTTAAGCCTCTCCTTCTCAAAGCTGAACTTTCGTTTTCGATCGAGAGATTAGCTTACGTGATTTTCGATAATTTAGATTGTCGTTGTGTTTTTAACGTTTAAGTCTCATCTCTCTTTCTCAAAACGTTGAATTTTCGTATTCGATCGAGAGATCAACTTGGATATGTTGGATATGTGATTTTCGATAATTTAAAATTGTCGT